GAGTTAATAATAGCCATGGCTACCAAGTGAAGAAATTTGGCCTTTTATTTAGGACACAGGTATCTGGCCAACACCCAACCAGCCAGCTATACAAATACTGTTTAATTAATTAAAAGCTTGGAGCCACCTATTAGCTGGATGACTAATTAGACATGATTACGTAAATCCTACAAAAGCTTAGACGGCCATTCTAAACTTTATTTTGGAGAATCAAAAGAGTACTACCAGTAATAGAATCCTAGAGCTGAAATGGGATCTCTGCTTCTGGGCTTTTCCTAAACCATTCAAAATTGTTATCTCTTCCTTGCTCAAAACTTTTAGAGAGGTTATTTCATAACCCATGACACCTACATTCATTATTTAAAAGATTCTGTGAGAAAAAAATACATCTGTTCCACTCTTTAGACATGTTTTCTATTTCCATGAGCAATCTTAAGATAGGAAAGAACTTTAGAAGATAGACACTCATTGGAATAATAATAATAGCTCTGGAATTCAGTTTAACCGTATCCTCCACTAACTTTTTTGAGATTTTCTACCTTTTGCTATAAACAGCTCTGTTCTACATGGTGCCCTTTTGCCACATATTGATTGTCCAAAGATTCTCATTCAAGTTTGGATTCCACTCTTCTGGCCAGTTTTAATTATTTCTGAGTTATTTGTTGTCCAAACAAAACAGGTTTTCTCTTTTCCCCTTAATTGAAAATGGGGTTTTCAGTAAATCAGATAAACTGATTGATTATAACAAGCTCTGTAGTATGTTATTTCCTCACAGATTACCATATGAGTGGTGATAAACTGGCTCAGAGTCAAGTACCTGTGTGTAATCCAAGATCTAGAACCTCAGCTCTGCTATTTTTTTCATGCAGGCCCTGGGGAAAACTGGCTCTTAGCAGCACAGATGTGTATGATAATTACACCAGTAAGCCAATTTAATCATTAAAATGTGAAGAGTAAATTTCTAGTAATAAGAATACCACACATCTGTACAAGACAGTATTTTTTTAAAAAGTTAAAATTCTCCTAAACTTATGTCTAATGAAAACTGAGAATGCATTATTATTATCAGAAATCTGAGGCTCAGACACATCAAGTAATTTATCCAAGATCTTTACTAGGAAGTGGCTAGGATCTTTACTATGACGTAGATCTCTGTGGCTACAAAACTCATGCTCTTAACCCCTATACTTATATCTGCTACCCTTTTAGTGAAGTCATATGTGCTAAAGCTAAAAGTCAGAAAAGTTCATATAATAAAATGTCTTGAGTGTGGTCACTAGAAGTCAGGATGGGGTTGGGTGGAGGGGTAATTGGAGGTAGGCGGTACAAACTTCCAGTTACAAGATAAATAAGTACTAGGGATGTAATGAACAGCATGATGACTATAGTTAACACAGGTATATAATGTATATTAACGTTAAGAGAGTAAATCCTGACTTCTCATCACAAGAAAGAAAAATTTGTTTTTCTTTTTTGCTTTCTCTTTTTATTGTATCTATGAGATGATGGATGCTGGCTAAACCTATTCCAACAATCATTTCACAATATATGTAAGTCATTATGCTGTACACCTTAAACTTATACAGTGATGTATGTCAATTATATCTCAATAACACTGGAAAAATTCAATTTAAAAAAGATTTCCTAGGGAATTCCCTGGCGGTCCAGTGGTTAGGACTCCATGTGCTTCCACTGCAGGGAGTATGGGTTTGATATCTGGTCGGGGAAATAAGATCCCACATGCTGCGTGGTGAAGCAAAAAATAAACAAAAACCCAACAACTTCCTAATATGAAGAGAGGCTATGAATGAACTAGACAAAAAATTGATACATTTGTCTGTTATACCTCCTTCAAAAACAGGGCTTTCTATTAGAATACATGTTTTAACACTGCTTAGCTTCTGATAACACCTCAACCACAGATTAAATAATGTTCATTTGATTGAGGAGAATATTCATTAATTTATTATCAAGTATAATGTACCATCTTCCCTGTTGATTTTTCATGTTAATTTAAATATGTAAGGAAATATACCTTTTCTATTTATTTTGGCTGAGCTGTATACTTATAGATGATTGAAAGAACATTCTATTTTCTGCCATCAAAACACATTTTACACATAGGAAAAGATAGGGATTGTATAGATAAGTAACCATCTTTCTTCTATGAAGATTACCTATTGGTTCAGAAAAGGACAGATGCATGCTCAGAGTTTTTCAAAGTATAATTTTCAAAAAACTGCTATTATGAATCTCATACAAATATAGTGGGCAAGTGTCAAAGATTGACTTATTAATGAGGAACTCAGCAGAATTGTAAAACTGGCCCAAAAGAGAGGATAGGGAAGACTGCTATATATAGTTAGTGAATTAAAGACAGAAGGCTGAAATGAAACTAAGTTAGATGTAAAATTGGTTGATGTCCTACAGTGCAATAAAACTATAACCTTCTGAGTTATCTTTCTACTTGCATCTTTCCTTTTTTTAAAAACACAACTTAAACCTTAATTTCACAGAGTCTGGGCCTAATCAATAGTAAATAGTAAGTTTAAAAAATTGCATTCTGCCAGGGGACTGGATTATCTTTGGGAAGAACTATTAGACAAGGCTCCAATATATCACTGAAAGGACATGCAGTCATTAGTTTGCCTTATTTTCACTTTGAGATAATTTTTTATCTACTTTCTACCCTGTAAAGAAAAATAGCCAGTTCCTTGTCTAATACTATGTATCAACACTACTCTGACCATCACACTGACAGAGCTGAGAATCATCATTTTAAAAATCAGGCAATTTGGTAGATGCAAAATAAAATCTCATTTCAATTTACCTATACAATATCTGGTTACTAGTTTTTTTTTAAACATGGTTTTGTTATTTTCTTTTCAAATTGTTATTTGCTTACTTTTCTATTTAGATATTAGTGCCCATGTTTTTGATTCCTTTCAGCTTTTAATATCTGAGAGAGATTTAATACTTACACATCGAAGAGCTTGTCATAAATAGTATTAATAGAATATTTTATGTGAGGAATAATAACATCCTAAATGAGGTTCATTTGTGCGAACTTGAAACTCAGCATAAGATTATGCTAGTAAAGAAGTAATGTTGTTTCCCCTTGTTCCATTAAACTCCTCTATTAAACATTGTTTTATATGAAAACTACATATACAAATAATGTTAATAAGGGTGGAGAACCAAAACTACAGGAAATGCAGGGATATTTGTAAATGCAACATTCTTTGCAAATTGGCTGCAGCTATCATATTAATAAGCAAGCAGTATAGCTTTAGGGGATTCTATTTTGAACAACTTAGAATAACTGGGCAAGTTTCCATGATAGTTTAAATCATTTTTTGTGATGTGCTTGTAAAATAAAGTCAAGAACTGAAACTGAAGTACACCCAATATGGTTTTATTTATGCTGCATGTAAAGTGTGTATGTATATGTGATATATATATATATATATATATACACATACATGTATATATGTATATATATATATAAACATATAAAACAAAATATGTCATTACTACTTACGACTTTCAGTATTTTAAAGGTTTTCTCTGGTACCACTACCACAGATCCATTTAAAAGATGACTGTATTTTTTAAAAAAATTATCCTATCTTCCAGGAGTAGAAAAAAGGTAACTGAATTAAAGCACTGGCTATTATAATCAATTGGCTAATTTATAACAGTTAGGGATATATATGGCTTATATATAATATTTATGTACAATTACAAACAGTAAACAACAAATTTTAGATAATAATGTTATATAAAATACATATATGTGTATACAGTATAGAGGACTAGAGAAGAGTTATGCTAGTAAATTTTAGAAAAATGATTTTTTTGAGCTCTGTATAATTCTGTATAAATCAGGACATATAAAAATTATAGAAACCTTTGAGATCACTTTTTTTGCTTGCTTTTGTTGAGGGTGGAGGGTGTGCTCCCAAAGAAAGTCTGAGCCTTTCGTGTTTCTAGTGGTCCAGAGATCCCCTAGCCTGAAGTGGTATTCAGAGTGAAGCCACAGTTTCTTTTCCCTCCCTCCCTCTGCTACGGAAGCCCAAGATTAGAAGCGCAGCAGGGCCTGGGGCGGGCAGGAGTTGGGGCGAGCGGGCGGGGGCGGACGAGAGGGGAGTCGGAGGAGGGGGGTGGAAACGGAATCCTAGAAAAAATGTCTTGGGAAGTTTCTGCAGGGCCTCGCTCCTGGACAGCGCTTTCCCACGGCGTCGCGGGGCAGGGGGGTTCCTCCCGCTCTGCTCGCTGCCGCCCGCACCCGCGTGCGCTCGCCCAACTCCGCCGGGGCTGCCGTGGGCCAGGGTTCGAGATCACGTGAGACTAGGTGATGTCAGCCAGCCCCTCGACCTGCACCGCACACTTCAGTTCCCTGAAGTCCTCGCGGCGCGTCCTTTCTCAATTTACTACTCGAGGGGCGTGAGCCAACAGCTGGCTCTTCGTTCAAACTCCCGTGGTCTAAAAGGGCCAGCAAGTACCAAAGATGCGGCGGGGTCGGGACCCCAAACCCTGGCTGGTTCCTGTGCCAGTGCTGTGATCATTCAGCCCTGGAGCCCTTTGGTCCTTCAGGTCCTCCAGCTTTTGGAAGATGACCTTGAAGAGTAGAGGGACGGAGTTGGGGGAAACTCGGGGCTCAGATTCCTCAGGGATCTGGGAGTCTCCCTCGATCCAGCCTCCAGCTTCGCTCCTCGATGTATGTTACAGCACTGACACCCCGGGCGGGGGATTTTTGTGTCCAGTCGCTGGGCAAAGACTTCTTGGCCCTCACTCCTGCTTGCCTCCTTCAGATTACTTTTCACAGACTGGAGCTGGATGGGAGGTGGAGGTATTTACTTTTAAATCTTTTATGTGTGTTCACTTCACCCTGGGTGGTTGGGCGTGGAGAGTGGAAGAGGGGGTTTCCAAAGCGAGTGAAATTCCCATTCTGTGGGTATTACCATGCCTGTGGGGTGGCAGCTCTTTTAGCAAGTCTGCAAATAACTATAGAACACAATAGAGTCCTCCTCCCTTCCTCTCGTTCTCTCTCTTTTTTTTTTTTTCTTTTCCTTTTCCTGCCTCCAAACGCCTCCTTCGAGGCTGAAGCTGGGCAGGTCTCCAAAGGTGCAGCAGCCACAGCAATCCCGCAGTTCAAAGTTAAGCAACAGTTGCGCAACTTTCAGCAGCTCCCTTCAGGTGGATACTAATGAGCTGAAAGCCAGGAGCATCTGAGGAGGTGAAGAGGAAGCTTCCAGGTCTCTTCCCTTCACCCTAGAAATCCAGATATCTCCCCCATCCCCAGAGAACTTTGAGATACTGTCCTTGCTGTTCGCTGGCCTGGCGGGCCATGGCTCCCTTTGGAAGGAACTTGCTAAAGACTCGGCATAAAAACAGGTAAAGTCCAGCGTGTGTGTATTCGGGAGCTTCTGTTGTGAAAGTATGTGTTTTGTTGCACTTAGATTCTGATGAAAATTGCTCCTGGGGAACAAAGCTCTAGGGAGTTAGGGCTAGTGTGTACACTCAACTGGTGAGGATATTGTTCCAGTAACAATGCAGTGACTGGTTCAAGGATCTCTGAAAATAAAGGATGATTATTTTGACTCCTTTTTTCTCCCTTTGGCCACTTCTGGTTTCCACCACTAGCATCACCCTCTTCTTGTTTGTTGCCTCGCCTATTTGAGAGTAGTGGGATGGCAAGTTTTATTTTGCTTTAGACAGAATTTTAGTATATTATAGGAAGAGTTAACATTTTGATGAAGATATAACTAGAATTTATTAGCCACTAATTAGAACAGAAAAACAGAGCTGCTGATACAATCCGGAAACAATGCTTTGGCTCCCTTTTTGAGTGGGGCATTCCTAAAACCTGGAAAGTTCCCAAAGTGAAAATACTCTGTAGAGAAACTTTTTGTGAACTCTTTCTTTCAAAAATCTGAGAAATTTAGGTGATTTTAGGCACTAAAAAAAGGATTCAAACAGCTGTCCTTCTTAATCCTTATTATTACTATTTTACTTTGATTTGATTTGCTGTTTTCAAGCCGGCAATGCCCATTGTGTAAATAAACATATTTCACACACACACACACAGATTTTTCTTGAGTCAGTATGTGTGTATCAGTCCTATTAAACATTTTATTAACTCAAGTGCTACATTTTTATGCCTAAAAAAATGTGAGGATAATTGTAGACACAGGCTTTACTTTTTAAACATACTTATTTTGGCATAAGGGCTTTTCTACAACGCTGCTCTCAATCACACCTGTTTGTACTTGTCATAATTTACTTAGTGTCAATTTAAAAGCATACAATTACATGGTACGAAATGATACAATTATTTTAGAGGGTCTGCATGACAATATAGTGGTACAACTTTAAAGTAAATCTCCAGACTTTATTTTGGGCATGAATGTCTACTTGAAAAATTCTGTTATTACCTCATTGCAATGTCTTTATGATTTAGTTGACTAGCTTAAGAAACAAAAGCAGCAATAATCAATACTATCAAACTTTCTAAACCTGTTTTATTTTCTAATAATCTGATATGTCACAAATATGGTATTTATGATAATTAATGAAACTATGTTAAAATAAAGAAATATGTCTGGGTAGTATTAAAAAATATGGTAGTGATAGTTATCAAAAATAGGCTTGTATTTTCATAGTGTCGATGCATTAAAAAATATTTCAGACAACTCCCCTTACCAAAAGAAAATCCTTCCTACTTTTTAAAGGATTTTTCAGTAGCATCAGTTTTGAAGTGTGTTTGTTTAAATGCTGTAAAAATATATTAAAAATTACTTCAGGAAAGTTCATGGTATTACAAAACAAGTTATGTTTTTGGCATAGTGATCTTTCTGAATACTATCCCTGTAGTTCAGAGTTGTGTATTTGTGTGTGTGTGTGTGTGTGTTAACTAATTCAAGAATTGTGTCATTGGTACGCCAAATAACAGTGCAATAAAACTGCATGCACCCCTGTGAGTTTCCCTCATATGGCCACTTTTGTTGCCTTAATTTGCCACTGCAAAATCTATTCTGCTCATAAAACTAGCTTTTGTTCAGGGAGGTGAGTATACAAACATTTTAAAAATATTTTTTCTATGCAAAATTATGAAAAAGTGGAAGGAAACAATAAAAGATGGGGAACTCAATAGTATTTTAAGTTGCTCTGACAAAATGGAATTGTGCTTCCTGAAGGTGAGGCTTTTTTATGAACGTGTGTTTTGGCGAAAGTGGTAATAGTGAGGCTGTGCCTGAGTTGCTGTAATAACTGAGTGCCTCCCTTTAAAGATTTGTATTTTTCCAGTCCTTAAGGTTGCTTAAACCACAGGGGTAGCTAGGGACATAAAAATATGGGTATTTCAAACTAAGCAGTAAATAAGCCACATGGTGTGTTGAAATAGAATTAATGTATATTTGTTTTTTTCAAGGTTTTGATATAGATGAGATATTTTTGTTTTGTCTGTTCTTTCACCTTCACAAAGGTGAAACTACAGATGAAACTTAGTTACATGATTAAGTTTATCAATTTCATTTCCTGGGTTCCATAATGATTTAAATAATTCCACTCCAAAATATAGAAACCAATAACTTGCCTTAAATGACAAGTGATTCATCCTTTGATAGATTCATTCTTCGACTGATGATAAAACAGTTATCTGATAACAGCCAATGCAATTCTTCAAATATATCATACAAAATTCCTTGTAGAATGTAAAGGAAATATTTGAGCAATATATTTGTACACATTGTGATATAACATTTACACAGTTAAAAGAACAACTTGAACATA